TGTGTGTGTGTGTGTGTGTGTGTGTGTGTGAGTGTGTGTGTGTGTGTGTGTGTGTGTGTGTGTGTGTGTGTGTGTGTGTGTGTGTGTGTGTGTGTGTGTGTGTGTGTGTGTGTGTGTGTGAGAGAGAGTGTCACTTCTTGGTCAGACTTCATGCAGTCACACTTTTTCACCCACGTACATTTGTCACCATTTCTGTGTCACCACACACACACACACACACACACACACACACACACACACTCTCACAGACGCTGACTTTGAGCCGTGACGTCGTCCTGAACCCACTCAGACCGCCGTCTTCTCTTCTTTTCTCTGAAGCGTGTCGTCGCTCTGATCCCACGCTCTCTCTCTCTCTGAATGAGCGTGCTGTTTGTCGTGCTGTTTGTCGTGTTGTTCACTTTTTCTTTCATCGTTTCTCTGAGTCTCTGACGTCTGACTGCGTGACTCCACACTCTCAGACTCTGGATCATCGACCTGGGAACGCTTAGAGCTCGGTATCTTTGTTCTGTTCTTAGTCAAAGCTACATGCACATTTAGATTAGCCATGCTAGCAGAGTTAGCTTTACAGTTAGCATGTTTTAACCCGACTCATCACTAACAGCTGCTGTGTTCACCGCTCTGACGCTCTGTCCCGAACATCGTTCTGATTTAAAGTAGGGCGAGCATATCGGTGACCTGCTGTGGTCACACGAGGTGGTCGGTTTCCTCCTGAGCAGCTCTCTTCACTGTTACAGTAACAGTTCTACTTCCTGTCTGTACCCACGTCTGTGTTTGCTCGTTATAATACGGCTTTGTATGTCAACATTTCCACCGTGGGCGACAGAAAATGGACACTTGCAGAGTTTTCAAAGGCTGTAAGTCTCCAGGCAACTAAGCCACAGCCGTAGCCCTGAGATTGATTGACACATGAGCAGACCAATCAGTGTTGAGCTTTGACTCGTGGTGCTTTAGTGATGTTTTTAAAATGTCTTCTCGAGTCGCCGCTCATGGCTAATTAAAGGAGCTAAATTGCTAACATCCAGGCTAGCTGCACTTCAGCTCAAACTCTGAAGTTACTCTTTAACATTTGATTCTCACAGGTCACGATCATGTTCAGGTTGTTTTGGCCCTTCATCCCGTCTTTCAGGGCGTTTTTTGTAATATGACTGTTAAATTCTTCTTCTTGTGTTCTCGTGTGAAATAAAAACAGAAACCTTCATGACAGCAGTGAGTCATGTTTCTAATCCCAGTGCTCGCAGTGGGAGATCCACGTCAGACCTCTTCAGAGGACTTTCTCTCCTGCTGGGAACCACTAACAGCTCTGCAGCTTTATTTTTAGATCAGGCTAAAAATAAACTGTTACTACATCGTTTCCCGTCTCGTTTGGAGGGGGAACAACCGCTCCGTGTTCGTCAGGGGGGTTTCAGCGAGAGCCAGGACACTGCTCGCTGCCAGGTGCTGCTCGCTGCCAAAGTGGAGCGCCACAGAGCTGCTGCCACGGCCGAGGACTGAGTCATTTAATGAGGCAGGGTTCAGATGTGATGTAGGTAGAGGATGAAGAAGCTCCATGTGTGCAGAACGTGATGGAGAAAAACTGGTTGATTCAACTGCAGGACCTTTTTATTTTTGAGACGTTAAGGCCTCGTGTCCACCTGGCGCTGTTTTTTTCTGAGCGTCTTTTTTCAGTTGTTTCTAAAGAGTAGAGAGCGTTCGCAGCAGCAGGCGGCCGCCGAGAGAAAGTACAGCGACCAGCGTCTTTTTTCTGAGCGATTCGCCTTTTTTGTGCGACCGCTCCGAGTGCTCAAGTTGAAAATCTTCCAACTTCTCAGAAAGGCGTTGTTGACGTCATCGACGCTCTTTTCCAAATGTTTGATATTCCTCGTATCTTTAACCCCTACAGATCGTGTCTTGTACCGACACCCTACTCGCTCCGTGTCTGATAAATAAACGATCTCAGATATAAAACATGATGAGTATCTCATCTCGTCTCGTGAACCCATTATCATGTTTTGTCTCGCCTCATTAGCTCGCTGTCTCTCCGGCTCCCTGATTCTAAATATTCAAATGTTAGATTGGATTTGTTTCTCTTCTAAAGACGCTCTTATTTTTCTAAAAACATATGCTCCCTTGGTACTGGCACTAATGACCCCCAACACCACCGCAGCAGCAGCAGCAAAGCCTCATGGGAGCTGGTCGTGACTCATTATTTTGACAGGCTGCATTAATGAAAGTATCTCGGAGGGGATTCTTACGAGCACATTTAATCTCTCTTCAACACTTAAGGGAAACAGTTGCTAAGCTACGGTCCAGAGTAAATATTTCATCAACTTTTATTGGTAATAAAATGTGATTATGCAATGACTCAGCGAGCCTTAATGTGAAAAGTTCATTATTAGCAGCTTTCCTCATTTTCTGTTGATTATTAAAAAGCCAATCAGCAGCGCTCAGAGTCCGGAGTCCTTCGAGACGAGACGCTGGACTGAGGCTGGAAAACAGAAATATAACACCACAATGACCTGCC